TCTTTTTGAGACAGGGTTTCCCTGTAGCCCCAGCTGTCCTGGAACTCACTGTGTAGACCAGGCTGGCCTTGAACTCATAGAGATCTGCCTGCCTCTGCCTCCTGAGTGCTGGGATTAAAGGCGTGTGCCACCAAGCCTGGCCTAAGTTATATTTTAATGCAATGTTTTGAAAATAAAGATAATGATAAAATTCTTTTATGTATAAAATGTGCAAGTTTTGGGAGAGATGGCTGTGTGGTTAAAAGAGGACCCAGGTTTGGTTCCTAGCACCCACATGGTGGCTAACAAACATCTGTAACTCCTGTTCTAGGGCATCTGATGCCCTCTTCTGGTCTCCTTAGGCATTGCACACATGTGGTGCACTTAAGCACAATATTCATACACCTAAAATAAAAATAAATAAATAAATCTTTAAATAAGGTGGAATGATAAGTCAAAGTTGTCTTCTGGCCTCCACAGGTACATGCACCTGCACACATGTGATACATGCACATACATATGCACAGTCACTCCCCCCCACACACTTGCACTCATCCAAACACACTCACACACACACACACACACACACGAAAATACAGAAACAGTACCTAGGAACTGGGAGTATTATTCAGCAAGTTACTTTCCTAGGAAGTGCTAAGCCCCAGGTTCCATCTCTAGACATGAAAAAAAAAAAAAAAATCAAGCAAACAAAATACAGTGTCTGACACATTGACGTCCTGTGACAATTTGCACCTGTTTTTTTTAAAGATGCTATGGATGGTTCCGGTTTTTCTTTTGTTCCAGTCTCCAGAATGGCTGAGAGGGAGAACTAGCTGGAACTAGAGAGGAAACAGGTAAGAGGATGATCCTTATTGGAAGCAGGCAGGAGAGGCCTTCGATACGCCCGTGGGGTCTCAGAGAGGGGTTTTGCATTCTGCCCTGTGAGTATCACATACAATAGCGATGACCGGCAGACATTCAGCATCTGTGTCCCGAAAGAACTTGGAACCCAGTCTGGCTGCACAGGACTTAGCAGTTTGCATTGTTTTTCTTTGAATCCAGGGGTACCGCTAGACTTCCCACGTTTTCAGGTGTAAATTCAGAGTGAATGAACCACAGCCAGAGCTGAAAGAGAAAACCGCAGGAAGGAATGGTACAGGGTAGTATATGGACTGGGCCAGACAGAAAGTAGGGCGGCAATGGACTAAGGAAGGACCCTGTTGGGGAAGCTGGGTGGGCGAGGCCCCCGCTTGCTGGAAGTTTTGAGCTCTGGGTTTCAGGGTGCCTTTTGGCTAAGCGTGAAGGGTCCTGTGTATTAGTCCTCAGCCTGCACTGCTCTGACCCTGTTACAGATCTAGTGCACATGTTCCAGAACCAATACCTGCATTTTTTTTTTTTTTGAACACTCCTGGATTGCTCATCACGGCAGACACTTGTGGGGAGGGACTCTTAGGCGGCACTTTAACAATAAAATCCCTAGGAAATTTGAGTCTGTTTTGGTTGAGTGAAACCAAGCTGTAACTCACATCGGAAGCGCAGGTGGAGTTAAATTCTGTACCAGAGAAACCGCGCAGTTTAGAGCTTGACCTTAGACTTGGCTGGCTGGGGCCGCGATGGGACGAGTGAAGAGGGGGCGTGGCTAGCGAGGAGGGGCGGGTCTTGGTCCCTTGGGGGTGTGCAAAGTGGGAACGCGTTGGTTACGCGGTGGGGCGAAACGGGGGCGTGGCGAGGCCTGGCGTGAGGACCTTGGAGACGCGAGAAGGGCGGGACTAAAGTCTGCAGTGACCCGATTAAACGGGGGCTGGGCGTGGCTAAGGCGTGGCATGGCAGGAACGAGGCATGGTGGGATGGAGCTAAGTCCGGGTAGGCGTGGTCATTTTTGCAATGGGCATGGCCATGGCGGGCGGGGCGGGGCCTCGTCCGGAAGATGGCGCTGCGTGTGCTGCGGAGCGCTGTACTCGGAGCTGCTGCTGCGCTGCCCAGGCTGTGAGTGCAGGTCCCCGGTTCCCCGCCACGGCCCGGGCTGGCGGAGCCTCGGTTCCCGCCTCCAACAGGGCGTGACCAGGCGGCCCCGGGGTCCTTAAGGGAACCCCAGCCCGGAGTCCGTGCGTCTCCCGCGCCTGACCTCCTCCAAGGTCGCTGCGGCTGGTGCCTCCCAGTGGGAGGGCTTTGCGTGGACCCCGAAAATGGGTACAAATGGAGCTTGATTGCCGGGGCTTTATCAGTCCCGCAAAGCAGAACGCGGCGATCTGTATAAAACAGCTTGGAGCAGTCAGAGGCGGCTCTCTTGCTGAGTGACAACACAGCGATTCTCAAATGTTTGGTCTTCAGACCCCTTTACACATCTAAAGATTATTGAAGGTCCCAAAGAACTTTTGCCTAAATTAATTCATTTTACAGTATTGGGAATGAAGTTAAATGAAAACCAATTTATTTTAAAACGAATCAATGAAATTTAATACAAGTAGTCTGTTTCATGGAAAATGCTGATTTTTTTTTTTTTTTTAACCTGGGTCTCACTGTGTAGTCCTGGCTGGCCTGGAACTCTATGTTCACCAGGCTGGCCTCGAACTCACTCGAGATCTGCATCCCTCTGCCTCCAGAGCATGACGGTTTTATGTATTTTGAAAATTTCTTTTGTTTAACAAGAGACAATTAGAATCTCATATCACCTGCTTTGGAAGAAGTATTTGAAAAGAATGCAAAAGTACTTGAAAGGGCAGAGACAGGAGGACTGACACAAGTTCAAGGCTGGGTTGATTTACATAGCAAGTTTGAGGCCAGACAGGGTTGCATAACGAGACCCTGTCTAAAAAACAAACAGAAAAACAAAAACCCACAAGAAACTCTGGGCTCACATAGGTGCAAATACTAGTTGGAAAAGGAGGCCAGAGTAGACCCTTACCAAAGGTCGGAGGGACCCTCAGATGTCATGGAGCAATGCTTTGAGAACCGCTGATGTAACACCTGCCTGTTTGGCAACTACATACACGTGTCATCTTCTTTGGTTTCCCTTTCGGCTCCGTGAAGCAGTAGTATGGCGTCCTCTTTGTGATATGGAAACAGTATCAGAAAGCCTTAGTGACTGCCTCAAAGCTCCAGGGAGTCAGAAGGCCAAGTTGATGGCTCATGATTTACTTCTTACATCTTTTGCTTTGTGTTTCCTGATGCCCCCCCATGACTCAGGGCAGGGCCCAATTTCATCCATCACGGCCCTGAACCCTGGCTCACGGGTATGCTCCTGGAACCAGAGCGATAGCTGAGGGGTAGTCCCTGGCCTATCCAGGTTCCTTTTCTGAAGTGGGAAGGGACTAGTATATGTGGCTTGTTTACCAGTGACCATACACACCACTTCTGATAAGCTTGCGGTTTAATGTTCAGTGCGCTTTGCCTCCCCTAGCGGGCAGCCTCCTTCTCAGCACACCTGGAGCCTAACTGGGTTGAATCAGTGTAGGTCCTGGTGAACCCACCAGAGTAGAAGGGGTCAAATGCCGAGTTTGATGCCTTTGTTTCAGTGTCTGTGGGATTGCTTCAGCTTTGTGCCAGTGGACAACTTATAGCGATTTTTGACTTGCTTTTGAGTATGGGCACCATTGCTGGGCAGACAGGAGCCGTTCTATACCTTGGTTCCTGATGCCTGTTCTGACCTTCCAGCATTTGCTCTAGTTTCAGTGCTGTCCTTGTTGAGTCCTGAACCGTCTTGTTATCCATGCTGTTATTTGTAGCGGTGTTGAATCTATATAAATGACCCTGCATTTAAGGAGAGGGCACATAACTCCTCATTTGACAAAATCAAGAGGCCGAGGTGGGGCCATGAAAACACCCCCCTCCACGCACCTATAAATATTTCTATATGGAACCATCTGTAGCTATAGTAAACTGAATGTGAGTTCTTATTGAGATTTCCAGCTCTAATCCATCAGTGCACTGCCCATTCTAATCACTTCCCCATGTGTGTTTGTAAACTGCACTTCAACTGTAAGAAAACTGGCTCCCACAGTAAACCTATGTTGCAATATCAGAATTGTAAGCTCACACCCCATTGTAAAGAAGTGCATCCACTAGAGGACTGGTTTTCCTGTAGTCTTTTGGGTGCCACTTTTTCCAGAACGACTTAGGTCACCCCTTTTTCTGCTTCTTTTCCTCCTCGGTGAGACTCTTCCGTACATTTGTGTACAGTTAGATGCTTTCGTTGGAGTCTGTTTCTTCCCAGGTTCCCTATATGCTACAGATAACTTATTTTTCAATTCACTTTTTATTTTATTTGTGTGGATGCACACGGTCATTCACATAGCATGGCTCAACATGTGGAAGTCAGAGGACAACTTTTGGGAGTGGTGTTCTCCTTCTACCATATGGGTTCCAGGGACTGAACTCAGGTCATCAGACATGTGTAGCAAGTGCACCTGCTGAACCATCTCATTGACCTATCAGATTAAAACGATTTTTTATTACATGTATTTCTTTATTGTACTTACAGTCTGCTATAGAGTGTGTGTGTAGGTCAGAGGACAACTTGAGGGCTGGAGATACAGCTCAGCTCTTAAATGTTAAGGCTTACAACCAAAACATCGAAGGATAATTTACAGGAGTCACTTCCTGTCTTCCTCCATGTGGTTACCTGGGGTTGAACTCAGGTCATCAGATTAAGCAGCAAGTGCTTTTACCCACTGAGCCATCTTGCCAGTCCTGATTTTTTTGATGTTGTAATAATTGAACCCAGGACCTTATGTGTGCTAGGCAAATATTCTACCACTAGGCTATATTCCTGGTGATTTGAGTTTCATTCTTTGTGCTGGAAAGTTCTCTGGGTTTTAACAAATACATAATGTCATATGGCTATCATTACATTACTACAGTGATATGTAGAACAGCTTTACTTCCCTAAAACTCCTGTGTACTTCACCTCTTGATTCATCACCTCCTGCCAAACACCTATCATGTTACCATCTTTACATTTTGCATTTTCTAGGATGTCATGTAGTAGGAAGCATGTGATGTGCAGTCTGCTTAGATTGGGTTCTTTCCCTTAATATGTATGTGAAATTTCTTCATGTCTTTTCATGGCTTTTATTGCTGAGTAATATTCCATTGGATAGATGTACCACACTTTGTTTATGCATTTTGCTATTAAAGGACATTTTTATTGCTTCTAGTTTTTGTCGATTATGAATAACCTTCAGTATATATTTGTGTGCAGGTTTTTGTATAGACATAAATAATTAGGAGTGTGACTGTTGAATATTTTGATAAGATTATGTTTAACTTCATAAGAAAATACCACAGTAGCTGTGTCAGTTTACATTTCTACCATCAGTGAATGAGAGTCCTGTTGCTTGCATGCTCACTGTGCTAGTTAGTTTTTGTTAACACGAACTACAATCAGTTGGGAAGAAGGAACCTCAATTGAGTAATTACTTCCATCAGATTTGCCTGTGACCATATCTGTGAGGCATTTTCTTGATTGCTAATTGATGCAGGAGGACCTAGCCTACTGTAGGTGGTGCCATCCCTAGGCAGGTGAGCCTGGGCTATGTAAGTAAGGATAGCCGAACAAGCCAGTAAGCAGTGTTTCTCCATTGTCTTGGTCTCAGCTTCAGTTCCTGCCTACAGATTCCTGCTTGAGTTCCTGCCCTGACTTCCCTTGATTGGACTGTAACCTGTAAGGCAAATAAACCCTTTCTACCCCCAAGTTGGTTTTGGTCAGTATTTTATCACAGCAGCAGAAAAATCAACCTAGGACATTCACCATTTGTCAGTGTTGTTTAAAAGAAAATTTAATCGTTCTAACGGATACATAGTGGTAGTATCTCGTTTTGTTTTGTTTTGTTTTGTTTTGGTTTTGGTTTTTGAGACAGGGTCTCCCTGTAGCCCCAGTTGGCCTGGAACTCACAGAGATCCACATGTCTCTGCCTCCCAAGTGCTGGGATTAAAGGTGTGCACCATCACACCAGTATCTCATTTTTTAATTTGTCTAACTTGAAATCCCCTCAAAGATGTTGAGAAACTTTTCAAATGCTTATTTGCCATCTGGGTATATTCTTTGATAAAAATATGTTCAGCTCTTCTGGCGATTTCTGAATTGGGTTGTGTATGATACTGAGATATAATGAGAACCGTATTTGGTTTCTGTTCCTCTTTCCTGGCTTGTAGCCCTAAACCACTGGACTCTCCATAGTAATAGTGTCTTTAATGAGTTGACTAGAGTCTGGGGGCCCCCATGGGGGCTTCAGGACTGGGTTCTTCCTCAGAAAAAAACAAGGCATGATTGGAGGGCTGAACTGTAAAGCCCACTCCACCTCTAGGGAGGAGAGAGCAAAGTGAAAATTTAGTTTCTTACCAGTAGCCAATGAGGTAATCAATAATGCCTGTGCAAGGAAGCTTCCATCAAAATCCAAAAGCTGAAGGTTTGGAGAGCTTCCAGATTGCTGAACACACGCAGATTCCTGGGAGGGAGATGTACTTGGAGGGGTTACTGGTACTCTTGCCCCTCCCAGTGCTCCCCTGTCCCGTGTATCTTTTCTATCTGGCTGTTCATCTGTATCCTTTAGAATGTCTCTTCCAATAACCAGTGGAAAAGTTTCTCTGAATTCTATGAGCCAGCCTAGCAAACCATTCAAATCCAAAGAGCTGGGTCTTAGGAACCCCTGACTTAATGGCCAGTAAATCAGAAGCATGTATAAAACAACCCCAGCTTCTGTTTACCTCTGAAGTGGGGGCAGTTACAAGGGACTGAGCCCTTGATCTGGGGGATCTGCTGCTATCTCAGGTGGACAGTGGCAGAACTGAACCTAGTGAAAGGGTATCCAGTTGGTGTCAGTAGGAGAATAGGTTTGCTTGGTGTGTGGAGAACTTCCCTCCCCGAAAAGAGTTCTGTATTGTATTGAGTGAGCTTGTGGAGAGGAGGGAAACTCTTTGTTCCTATCTTACAGGTTGTTTCTTTGCTATTAAGCTTTAGTGTTATTGGTATATACTGGCCTCAAGTC